GGGGACACGCTGGAACGGGCGGCACGACTTTCCCGTTTCGGTTTTTGCGGGAATACTGCTGGAACTCAAACTCATTAAAACCCGGCGTTTCTTATCCTGCACGTCCGGCTGCTGGCACGAATGCGAGTGGTGATGGGCACAAACGGGGTGCCCTGCAGCCACCTGCATCCCCGGACAGTCCTGCACGAGCAGTCGAGGCTGCCAAAAAGAAACTGCCATGCTGGAAACCTGCTGCCCTTTGGAAAGGGAGAGCAGCAGCCTGCGCTGGTGCTGGCATGCCAGCACCCCGAGGAAAAGCCTTTTTATTACAGCACCTAGCTCGTCTGCATGTCTGCACACCCATCCGTCTGTCCAACTGTCAGCTGCTCAGTGCGGAGATACATGATAAGTTGGTTCTTAAATAGCATAAAGAAGAGCTCGGGCTGTGCTGGAGGGGCTGGGGCAGAGCTGTGGAGCCCCGGGCAGAGGAATTGCTGTAAGGGCCAACGGTGAGCAGCACAGCCCGGTGGTGCTGGAGAGACACTTTTTAGCCCTGATGAATGGGCATCGACTGGGAAGGAGCTCAGCTACGCTTCCGCGTAGGTCGGTGCTCGGTTGTTTATTTTTTCCCTTTTACAGCACAGTAAAGCAGACTTCAAGCACGGTGTGCTGTTGGAGTCACGGGAGAAGCCAGCCACCACCTTGCCAAGAGGCACAGTTGCTCCCTGACCTCCTTCCTGTGACATTTTCACCCCTGCAACACTATCCCTGTCCAGGCAGTGCCAGGAAAGTCCCCAGTTTCAGGCTTGATTCATTATCTACCTGCCATTTCTCTGCCACGATAAGAGAAGGAGCACACCTCCTGGCTTTCTCAGAAAGACACTAAGATGATTTTCCCAGCACAGTGTTACTTTGAACCATCAGCCACGAGCTGCTACCAGCTTTGCTAATACTTGTCTATTAACTGGGAAATGGGACCAGAAACACTGACTCGCAGGTGCATTGCCTGCACTCCTGCACCTTTCTCCCCTGCCCCCTTCACATACTCATGACCGTAGGCTGCTTCAGACAGCCTTCCCTGCTTGGTCCTGCTGCTCCCACTGTCAGGGCAAACTCTGCTCCAGGCAACGGGATCTTCCCGTTACAAGATGCTGGACGGCAAACGTAGCTCGTTTGTTACATCCAGTCCGTTTTACCAAGGAAGGATAAAAACCTGAAGCTCAGCTCATCCAGAGTCAAGACCTGAAGGATGATTCGGAGCTGTCTCCTGCCCCTCAGCCCGGATCGCAGCCCTGAGCTTGTTGGTTCCAGAGGAGCTGGTCCCGCGCCCCGGAACGGCTTCTGCGCTCAGCGCAAGTGCAGCTTGGACGTGGCTGTCTGGGTGCACATACCCAGGCATGGACAGGAGAGATCCTCACTGATCCTCGAGATGTGTCTGTGGTTTTTTCCTTAGGCGTTTGATAAAACCATTGCAAAGGACAACTCCCTGGCCGTTGGCTTCTTTCAGAGAGGGTTTGTCCACCTGCAGCTGGAAATGTGAGTGAGGTTCTTTGTTTCGTTCTTCGGTTTTCTCCTTTTAGTCATGCTTTGTTCCTAAAATTCACTTCTTCCAGCAATCTTCAACAGTTCGTAAGGTCCAGTTTGGCTTTGTAAACCGTGTCACAGGTCAGCAAGTCTCATCTCTGATAAACCAGAGAAGATAGGAGCTGCACAATTCCAGGACCCCTGGAGTGGTTAATACATGACACTACTGCGCCATACACAGAGAGAAAAAAGCTGCTCCTGGATGTGGGACTGCCAGGAGGTTACGTTGCCGTACAGATTTTCTTGGGGAACGAAAAAAATATAATTGCACCGCTTGGTGTATCTTCACATGGTACACACGAGCCTGGCCTTCCTAAAAATGCAGTCTGCCCACAGTCTCTGACTCTCTGCTGACAGTGAATTTTGTGGACCTGATCTCAATCTCACTGGTGTAATGTTGGGGTTGCTCCACTGGTGTCATGGAATGGATTACTCCTTGTTTCCAGGGTTAAATCGCAGTCGCATCCTGCTCCCAGAGGTGGGTGGAGGATTTTACAGGTCCTTTCTTACCTCCAAAGTTCAGTTATTCTCTTTCCTGTTCTTTTTCCAACCTTTTCCAGACCTTAATTTCCAAAAAATGGCTATCTTTATTTCGGGGGGGGGAGTGAAAGTGAGCAGTTCTGCACTCACAGCTGCCCGTCGAGCAGCTACACGCTCTGTGCCTCTGCCAGCAGAGCTGCGGTCGGGGCGGTGGAGCCCCGTCTGGGCTCTGGAGCTGCTCTGCTCTGCTCCCAGCGCTGTGCCACGGCCAGCAGAAGCGGAGCAAGCCCACCCTGAGCACACACACTGTGCAGCAGGTCAGGGCAGCAGAGCGGGCAGACCCACCTCCCACCCAAGGAGGTGATGGCCACCAGCACCTCACGGCTCCTTCCCTCACCATGTGCTGCTCCCACCCACCTGAGCACCTTCCCTTGGCCGTGCTCGCTGGCTCTTGGCTCTTGGTTGGGTGACCACTGCACTGCCCCTCCTGGACCCTTCATTTCACTGCCTGCGGCCTCAGTAGGAACCTGGTTTGCTTTCAGTTGTGTAGCTGGTGTAAATTCAGACTAATTCCCTCCTTATCCTTAGAGTTTCTCTAAATTTCTGCGCACATTGCTCTGGCAGTGCGTGGACACGCATCGTCAGCTGGGGTTTCCAAGCCCCCGCTTCTGCCCTGAGACATCTGCTGGGACAAAACTGCCAGCAGCAAGCTGGGCCAGGAGCTCACAGCATTTGTTAATCTCTGTTCTTTACATTTTCTCCTCCGTGGAACTGCAACTATTTCAGGTATCAAAACCTACTGTTCATCCCAATCAGTACAACCATGCGGATAACCCCAGACGCACCATTTTCATTTTGTACTAACTACCAAGAAGGGGAGGACTGGGAATTTTCTGTGGTCACAAGGTGACACACATTTCTGGTGCAGCTCTCCCCATCCAGGCTAGAGAAGAACACATGGTTTTTGCTGGCTTGGTTTTTGAACTTATTTAGAGTCTGTCTCTTCTGTCGTCTCTGCACTGTAGGTACGAAGAAGCTCTCTCTGACTATCATATGGCCTTCAGTCACCTAAGAAAAAATCCCTTCATCGATTACAAGCAGCTGGGGCTGAGGCACATCCTCTATGCATGGGAGGTAAGAGTCCCCCTGTCTCAGCAGTCCTTCCCCTCTGTTGGAGGTGTTCATCAGGTGGTCAGCAGCAGCCCTTAGTAACCCAAGAGCTTCTCAAGATGGTACATTAGAACAGTAAAAAATTTCTGCTTGTGGTTTTTTTTTTTAAAGGGACTTAATCATAAAAGTCCTAAAACAATGTAGTCTCTGAGAGTTTAGCAAATTGTGCAGTTTGAAAAGAAACTGTTCAGAGCAGATGCTCAGGAATTTGTATATTGGGCATCTTTAGCTTATCTGTGCATGTAATATTTATGCTTACATGGGTGTAAGTATGTATGTAAGTTTTGTGGACTCCTCAGCTCTAAAAGCTGAAATAGGTCGAAGTATCGACAGATGGGAACAAAACTGATCCATAATGAAGACTTTAAGAAACTTATGTGCACAAAAGCCTGTCTTTCCAACTGTAGCAACTGATCTTAACATCACCTCTGTGTCTAGGCTCCCGCGCTGGGCTGCGGGCTGTTTTGCTTCTGTAACACACCTCTCTGCAGCTCTTACGCTGTTACATGGAGTCAACCTGCCACATCCTGTTCAAAAAGATCTAAGCCTGGATTGATTGTAAATATTTGTGATATTTAGAATGTAAAAGACTCCTGGAAAGTCTACTGCAAGGGTTCATTTTGTCTTCTGTCCTGAGTCCACACGCATAGGCTGAAAGCAGATACAAGGAAGAGTATTTAATTCTCTACTTCCACAAGAGTGAGGAGTCATTGTGTAACTCAAGTCAAGCGTGCCCAGAAACCGGTCACTGAGTCTTGGCCAATTTCCACGAACCTTACACCTGGCAGGAAGAAGCTATCCTTGGCATCCATGGCATTACCCAAACCTCATTGTTTTTAACGGTTTCAGTGCCACAGTGGTGCCTTCTCTGAGCTCACACTTAGAAACAATAGGTTCCCTTTGAAAGGTGCAGGAGTGCCCTGAGGCCATCAGGAGGAGGTTGGTACCTTTTCTGGTGTGAAGACACAGTCTCTTGCTCCATGTGCTCTAGGCATTGCCAGGACATGTGCTCTCACTGTGCTGGCACTCTGGACTCAGGATCTGTGTCCTAATTCAACTGTATCTCGCTCTTGCATCTACCTGCAGCTCATTTTTCAAAATACACACACATAATCCTCCTGCAGAACTGTGCCATCAGCTTTCCCCACGCACAGCCTCTCACACGCTGCATCGGATCTTCTCTAGCAAGAGATGATGTACCCTGTGGTTTGAAAATCCACCCATGTTTGCCTCTTGCAAGGTTGTAGCACTTCTGAGCTGAGCTGAGTGAGAGGTGCTGCCTCGCCTCTCCAAGAAGGAGTATCTCTGAAGTTCCTGTAGGTGTTCGGGATTGCCATTCCCCACCACCCTCAAACGTGATTAGGGAGTGAAGGAAAAGCATCCTATTAACTGCACCTCTCTCCCAAGCTCCACTTGCATCCAGATACCACAAAGGGATTTACAAGCTGATAACCCTGTCATATAAGATAGCAAGATATCTGACAGTGAGTCTCTTAGGCCACACTTCTGCCTTTTTGGCCGGTGACAAGAAGAGATCTCCCACTCTTAATTCAGCACATAGATCAAGACTTCCCAACACCCAGCCTGTCATACTCCCACGCTTTGCCACTTCACCACTGAACATAGTTACATGCTGCTAGAGGGTATCAAGCTACATCTGACAACTTGCACATTGACAGCCCACTGCAACGTGAAATAGTTTCAGTTATCTTGCAGTGAAAGGGAGGCAGAGTTATTCTGCACAGCAGAAAATATGACCTAGTTGCGTGCAGAAAGAAACCTATGCCACTTGCCAAGAAACCCTTCAGTGGCCTTTCGGATGCAGGAAGGACAAGATTAAAATTTGCGTGGGACCGGAGCCTTCACCTGGTGTTCCCCATGCCTCTCCTCGCCTTGAGCAGAGCTAGCAGCTCCAGCACGCCCAGGAGCTAGCCTACCAGAACGGCTTTTGTCTCTTTCTGCTCTGGTGATGGAGTTTTTTCAGCTGTGCTGCTCTGGGTGCTTTTCCCACGGCCCGTGGGGAGTAGGTGGGTGCTGCTGCTGTATCTGGGGTGGTTCAGTGCCTGCTCCCTGTTTCTTGGCTGCGATCAGTAAGTCGCATTGGGTGTCTGCTCCGTCTCAGCCCTCTGAGCTCCGCTCCCCCCGTGCCCACCCCAGGTGCTGTACAGCACGGCAGCGGCGCAGTGCCGGCTGCAGCGGTGGCAGGAGGCCAGAGTCACCCTGGATGAGGCCGTTGTGTGGAGACCTGAGGGAAGGACAGCAGTCCTGGAGCTGGCCCTTGAGCGAGTGCAGGTAAGACCACCTCTGTGAGTTCCTGGGTATGTGTATTGGGCTCAATTAAGAAATACATGATAGGAATGTGCCAACTGTTGTATGTTCAGGCTTTCCTGTCTACCCACCTGCTTGGTCACCCTGTAACAGAGTCTGAGTCATTTGCATATGATGCTCTACCAAAGCAGTGCTTCAGCTAATCAAGTAACTCCATCACCCCCAGGTGCTTCATAGCAGAAACACCATGGTGGAAAATTATGGAATAACATCTCAGGTTGGGGAGGTTACTTTCTAGTCCCTGCTGTCCAGGAGCTTAGTTCTGTTTGTACTTGCACTGTAAAACAAGTTGCCTTGTGCAGGGTTCAAGTGCAGAACGCCTGCAAGTGCAGATTTGGAGAGTCTCACTTTTCATGACGCTGGCTGAGTGTTTTGAATCCCTTTGGCCTCAATGACAATTGGTGGCAGCTCAGATATTAATGACAATCGCATTTAGAGCTTAAGTAGGGTGTAAAAGTGTTTCCAGGGTTGGTTCTAGATACCAGTTTCCTGTTACATTCTTTTATGATCAGGAACAACTTGCAGATCTCTGATTTACTCCTCCTGGAGGGTTCGTTATTTTGCTACCTCCATACTTCCTTGTCTTGTTGTATCCTTTCTAAGAGATGATCACTTTTTTTTAATCTGATCATCTCTTCTAGCATCACCTTTGTGCTTTACATCATGTTTGTGCTTTTTTAAGTATTTATGTTTGCTATTAGCATGCTACTCAGTGGTTGAACAGAAGAGAAAAAAGCAATGTTTGAAGTCAATTAGAAAAAAAACACTTAGAGATTTGTTTAATAAACTTGACTCCACTGCCCTCCCTTCCCGTGCCAACAGAGCCAGTCTTTGACTCAACACTGGGTAGTGGCTGCTGAGCTCTTAGTTTGCATGTGCTTGTTAAACCTGAGTGACCTTTTTCAAGTTCACAGCCATAATTTTTGCCCCAATGTCTTCCTGGAGCTGATCTTGCACACGGAGGGAAGCTATACTTCCTTTTCACTGCTGCTATGGTTCGTTTAACATTAATCGATGGCTTTTCCTTCATCTGCTTTCCCTGCCCTAGAACTGCCTGTTTTTAGAGCCTATGCACGTTCCTCTTGGAGAATTTTTCAGACCACGAAAGAAGGAAGTTGAACAGCTGGATTCAAAGGATTTCCTGGGCAAACCCAAGGTAACAGGCATGTGATCATTGAGATTAACAGCATGTAGATTACAATCCCACCTTCTGACATCTCCAGAGGGCATTACTGTTGGCCACTCCACCGATCCCTGCGCTGGTGGAGACCCAAGAGTAGGATTGTCAGGGCTTCCAGCCAGCCCAGGCATCTGGGACACTGAAGCCGAAATCTGTTAGAACTGCCACCTCTTCTATCAAAACTGCACTTCGGTGCTAGAAAAACCTTCCCAGTCTTGGTCACTTTAAACTCTGAAAAAGCTGAGCAAGTACTTAGGGAGCCCTGTGGTTGTTCTTTTGCTGATAATGACGTTTTCAAGAGGAGGACGTTCCTCCAGCACGCTCCTGCTCACCGCTGCGTTCCCAGGGGCCGGGCAGGCACTGGGGAGGCAAAAGCTTTGTCACCTCCTGTAACACGAGTCAGCAGAGAACTTCTCTGATCCTTCTGTGACCAGTGCAGTCAGCAGAAGGGCCACAGGCCAGAGAGCTCTCACGTGAATGAAGGGAAGGGAAAGTAATCCATTCATGTATTTCTAAAGAAACCTTGGAAAGACTGTTGTTTTCAACAGAGACACAAAGAGCTGGAGCTGTTTTGGGAATCCCGCTCTGCTTTTTCCACTATGTGCGTGGCTCTACGCCTGACCTTAGGATGTCAGAAGGAAACGAGTCTGAGTAGATAACCTTGCATGAAGTTTGAGAGTCTCTTCATCCAGCCTGGATTCAGCCATTTCTTTGTCCTCTGACAGGTGATCTCGTCCATCATTCCCAATGATGAGTACATCGGCTTCGAGCCTCTCAGGCCTCAGGTGAGTGGGACATGGCTGTGAAAGGAGGAATGGAGCTGTCATGGAGCTCCAGGTAGGGCCTCAGATCCTACCACCACCAGGGTGAGAACATACCATTGAAAAAAACGGTGTGATACCAGACTAGATCCACCGGGCCTTTCAAAGGCAGGTGATGGGCTTCAGCGTCGGCTGGGAGGGACTCAGCCATGTGAGTCTCCAGCCCTTTGAAGATGCATTTTTGCCTCTGTCATGTCTAAACAGCAGTGGAGACTTTGCAGGACTCAACACGTGTTCGCCCAGCACTTTAGTAAATTTGTCAGCGTAAGCATGGCTGGCTTGCACTGCAATATGTGTTTCTGAGAACCAAGGGTAGGGGAAAAGATTTTGTTACTCACCTCCTGATGGGAAAAAGAGGGAGGGGGAGAAATAGAAGGTACATCCTGGTAAGGTGTGGAGCTGCAGACTTCTGTCTGGGTGCTGTGGTGTGACAAATGTGGTCAAAAGTAAAGACAAAATACCACAGCGTGGTATTCAGAGGGACAGTAAATAAGGTGGCACTGTTGGTCTATAAGGTGCTGTAATAAATAGATGGTGTTTTTCCCCCACAGAAACAGGGCTTTTATGAACCCAGTGCTGATGCTCTGCGGTAAGTGCTCAGTTCTACCCTGGTCTAACTCTTCCTTCAGTATTTCTGTTCAGAAATTCATGTTTTGTTCTCTGACGTCTTCATCTGAAGACTCTGGGATCCACACCCACTTCTCACCAAGGGTGGAGTGAATGACAAACGTGCAAAGGCTTGTGTGGCTCCAAAAGACACTGCAGTTCAGTAGCACCTCTCATGCCAGAACCTCAGGGCAGTTTGCAGGAGCTGATTTTGTAGTCTTGGGAGACAGGCATGGATCATGCCATGGCTGGGGAATGGAAGCAGAGAGAGGTTGTAGGACCTGCCCAAGTCCATGGCAGAGGATGCTCAGCTGTCCCATCCTAGTTCCCATGACAAGGCCTCCAAATACTCACTCCCAGCCATGCTATGTTGAGCCAGAATCAGCCCTGGTTCAAAAAACATGAAAGTAGTTTGTTGTGGTGATATTGTACCAACAGTACTTCAGGGCTGAGTTTAATAATTGTTTTGATATGGAGGATGTTGAAAGCTGGAGAGGGACTTTTTACAAGGGCGTGGAGTGATAGGACAAGGGGTAATGGATTGAAACTGAAAGAGGGGAGAGTTAGGTTACATCTAAGGAAGAAATTCTTCACTATGATGGTGGTGAAGCACTGGAAGCTCAGAGAAGTTGTGGCTGCCCCATCCCTGGCAGTGTTCAAGGCCAGGTTGGATGAGGCTATGGGCAACCTGGTGTAGTGGAGGGTGTCCCTGCCCATGGCAGAGGGGTTGGAACGGGATGATCTTTGAGGTCCCTTCCATCCCAAACTATTCTGTGATTCCATGATTCTGTTTATTAGTATAATGAAAACGGAGCAGTTGCATTTGGGAAATCAGTGTTTTCCAAGCTCCTCTTGTTCCCAGCTGGACCAAAGAGTAACAATGGAACTCATAATTTCCCAACAGCTGAAACTTTTGGCATGTGCGGATTTGGATCGGTGCAGTGTTCTATATCAAAGCCATCCAGCAGCAGAATTTCAGGGTTAGTAAAGATGTTCTCATTCTTTCTTTCCAGAGACAGTGAGTCAGGCTACTATCGAGTTTTGTCCCATTATTACCCTGAGGACTCGGAGCAGTTGGCAGTGAAAGTGGGCAGTCTGGTCTTTGTGCTGGCGAGAGGAGCGGATGGTTGGGCTACAGCCATACACGATGGACAGGTAAGGAAAACAGGGGGGCTTTCCAGCCCATCCCCACCAGCAGAGACCACAGCCCTGCCTGTGAACAGGACCTTGCTGCAACCCTCTCAGCACGTTCCTTGGGGAACATGCAGAGCAGAGGGTGAGTTCAGGAGCTCGTTTCCACAGGCCACTTGTTAACCATAGATTTCTTTGACACTTGGGTCCCACCAGCTTCTGCCATTCACCTCTGTAGCTCCACAGGGGCGTCTTTTTGGGTGCTTGTGATCTTCACCATACAGGATCCTGTGGTGGAATCATGTAGGATAACAGACCTCACCTAGGACCACCACTTAGAGCAGTACCTGTGAGCTGAGGGCTCTAATGGAGCTGAGGAGTCAGGTTGGTCCTTGCCTGGTGTGTAGTGCCTCTTCTAAATTAACTTTGGGAAGGTTTGGGGAGAGTGTCAGCTGTACATGCAGGGTTTCCAAGGGCTCTAGAGAAGACCTGATGAATTAAAGCCCGGCAAATCTGCAGAGACATCTTTCTGCAGAGTAGGGAACTATAGTGTAAACAGATTGAATAGAAACAGGTAAATATGACAACATGGAAAATCTTTTGTAGACAGAAGCTGTTTCTCACATGTCTACGTAAGTTCTTTGAAAGAGCCAGTGCATACCTGGATTGGGTTGAGCCAGTGAATATATTATCTGCCTGTATTTCCAAAAAAAAGTCAAAAGATTCTTCACAAGACCACTAAAAAAAACAGCGAGCTGTTTGAGCAAGAGGGGCAGTGCTCCGAGGACTGATAACAGGTTAAAATACAGAAATAAAGGGTGGGCACAAATGAACTGGGTTTTATTCTTTTTTTTTTAAAGAAAGGATGTCCCCACAGAGAATGTGCTGTGACCGAAGCATTTAGCGTATTCCTAAAGGATGCAGTAGTGAGGATAGTGATAACAGTGCTTCTTAAGGTGACCACATTCCATGATGGACAGTCAAACCATTCAGCATAGCCTGAGGCATGTGCAGCTGACAGTGAAAGATTACAGAAGTACTTCAGTGTGCTGGTTGACTGCTCAGTGAAGTGTCAGATGAAATTCAAAGTCAAAAAAAAAGTAAAATAATAGACACTGGGGGGAAAAAAAAAGCACAATTACACACAAGGATCAGTTGAAATGAATAACTCTATAGTGGTGATTGTCAGAAGACACTGAAATGCTGCTGGACTGGTATCCCTCGACATCCTTGCTGCTCTCTCCCCAGGCATCCGTTGTAGGAGCAGGGTGTTGGGGCTTGGTGGGTGTTTGGTCTGTTACGTCGCAGCCGCTCAGTTAGCACCCCTGCTCTCAGCGGAAAAAGGTGCTTTGGGTTTTGTTCCGCAATTTCTGAGCACAAACCACGTGAGCTGCCACACCTGACCCCATGCCCTCCGTGGCACGGTGGCGTTGCGGTGGGGCGAGCGGGCAGCGGTGGTTCGCGAGGGCAGGGGCAGCGCGGTGGGGCTGGGTGGGCTGGGGCTGCGTCTGTCTCACCCTGCTCTGCTTCGTGTCCTGCAGAAGCTGCGCGTTCCGAGCTCTCTCCTGGAGCCTGCCTCAAAGATGGATAAATGGGTGAGCTGACAACCTGGCGACCAGGGCTGAGGAAGGAACCAAGAAATACATTTGGGACATTTGTTTGTAAGATTAGCACAGGGTAGAACAACTGTGGAAGAGAAACATAGAGTGTTTCAGCTCAGACACCTTGAGCGAAGACCAGGTGCTCTTGATCTGGAACATGAGAAGATTTAAGAGCAGGAAAAATGCTGATTTTTATCCTGTCCATCGAATTTCTTTACAGCAAAATCTGGGGGCTCAGACACATGTCCAAGCCGCAGTGACAGGCGTCACGGGCTGATCTCGGGGGTGTTGCCTCTTACTTGCTGTGGGCTGATGGAACACACAAAGATGAGCAGCTGCCACAGCTCTCCGGACCCGCTGTAATTTGTTGAGCCACTGGAACACAGTGATGAGTTTGAGGGAGTGAGGCAAGTGCTTGAGGGTCCATCCTGCTCCTGTGACATTTGCAGCCATTAGTTGTGGCACAGGAACGGGTGAGGAGTGCTCACATGTTCTAGTTCACCAGCAGAGCGAGAGCAGGTTAATCTCCTGCAGTGGGATAGTAATATCTTAAACAGGCATCACTTTTTGCCTTGGGACCGTGTGCCTAAGCCCTAAACCCTCACCTTTGGCTTAGGAAAACTTCCTTCATCTCCCATCTCCACCACAGGCATATCCACACATGATCCAAACAATTTTCTGTCTGAACCCAGTGTGGAAAGGTGCAACTCAGACCCCTCTTGCCTGTTGAAGCGCATGATTGTTCTGATGTTGCTGTGATTTTTATTTTTTTTTCCCTCTGAATCCCTGGCCATCGCACACACTTGGCCCTTTGATCCGGGGATGTCTCACTGTGAACGAGGTGAGCTGGCAAATGGTGGGGAGAGCCCTCAGCGCAGCATGAGCAACCTGCCTCTGCGCCAGCACCGAGCCAGCAAGGGGCAGGAGGCCAAGGAAGTGTCCCACCAACCCTCTCCTCACCCCTGCTATGCCCTGGCGCTGCAGAGGCCACTGAGAGCCTGAGCCTCATCTGGCCAGTTGATAAACTGGTCTCCATGTGGTTACACCCAGAAGTTTGTAGCTGGCTGCAGCCTCTGTCATGCACACCAGCCTTGCCCGGTCTCCGGTGTCTTCTGCTCACTCCTTTCTGGTGTTGTTCTCTTGCAGAAGATCAGCAATGGGATTCCCCTCCCTCCTGCCCAGGTGCCTCCCAGCCGACTCCATGTGAAGCAGAAGCCAGGTAGTCCCCGGGCCAGGGACCTCGGGGGGTGTTAGGTGAAGCTGTGCCCAAACCCCGCTGCTTTAGGGGCACGTGGGGAGGCGGGTTGCCCGTGGCTGCCTGTGTGCTGACGGGTTGCAGAAGAGCTGCCAGGGGCCTCTGCTGACTGCAGGCACTGCTGCTCTGCTCTTGGTTTGTTCTGCAGGATCTTCTGGGGAAGAAAACGCCTCTGCAAATGATGCTGATGCCCAAATGGACTTCAAGGTAAGGTGTCTCACAAGCTGAAGCTTGCACAGCCTTGAGATTCCTGGCCAGATCCTCCAAAATTCCTGAGCTGCCCAGACATTACTGGGAAAAAGCTCTTCTTCTGCCCGTTTTCGCATTCCAAAGGAGAGGCTCCCGTGTGGTCTTTCCTCCACCACTCCCAAGTTTGTGACCGTACAATTTCGTGAGGCAGCCCAAGGTCGAGGCTTACCAGGGCAGTGCCCTTCTGCACCCTCCAAGGCGCCAGGAGCCCCGGACACAGCAACGCTCTGGCACACACTTTACAGCCCGTTTAGCAAGAGAGAGCTCTCTTTGAACTACCTGCTGTCCTGTGTGCCATTTTCTGCCCCTGCCAGTCTGGGTACCACCATTCATTCATGTTTGTGTTCTGGGATGATGTCCTCTGATGCCCCTCCATGTCATTCCCAACCACTCTGTGTGATGGAGCTGGAATCACTCTTGTGTCCACCTGGGGACAGCACCTCTCTGGCAGTGCCAGCTGCAGCTCAGCTCTGCTCCCTTTGTCTTTGCCACCCCCCTTTGGAGTAATTTTTGGTCAGCTGTACTTCAGACAGGAGGCAGCAGAACCTGGGGACTTGGCTGCACCTCTCCAGCTGGCTTTGGGGTTGGGAGGTACCTGTGCCATTGGACCCAGAAACGGGCTTCCTGCGTCATGGGAGGAACATTTGACCCCAGGCTTTGAATTTGTAGTTCCCCCTGTGAAATTCAGGTCTGCGGTTTGATGCTGCGCTGCTGTTACGTGGTGGCACTGAGCCGCGGGGTTGTGCCCACAGCACCTCTCTTGACACGAGAGTCCCGAATCACCAAACTGTCCGTGGTGCCACGTCTCTCAGCAGATCCCACCGACCCGAGGAGAAGCTTCGGACAGACCCGTTGTGCTGAGAGCACGTTGCGAGTGCACCGTGGTGGTGAGGGCAGGCAAGGTGCCAGCTCTGCCCGAGCTGCGGGCACTGCTGCGGGAGCGCTTTGGCTGGCTGGCAGAGCGAGGGGAGCTGAGGTACGCTGCGGACCACCGGGCCGTCCGGTGCATGGGTGTGGGTGACGGGGCGGCAGCAGCCGTTCCCTGAGGATACAGACCTGAGTCTGGTCTCCTGGGAACGTTTAATTGGAGTCAAAGTGCTCCAGGAGAGATGGAGCGAAGATGTGGGCGCACAGCCTGCCTTGCCGGGCTAACCATACCAGGGGTTTTGGTTTTGAGGACAGTGTGTGCTCCTGGTCTTTCCCAAGAAACTGTAGGATGGTCAAGAAATGGGAGAATGGAAGGAAAAGCTGTGTGCAGATGCAGCTGCTGCATGTGGGGTTTTCTCCCGCTCAGCTCAGCCTTTGAGATACACTAAGATCAATGCGGAGCAACGTGGGAGTTGGTCCTGGCGTGAGGTTCTCCCTGACGGTGGCATCCCCGGGACCACACAGTCAGTGTAGTCAGGAGAGTTCAGGCTCTTCCCCTCAAGTAAGTGTGTGAGGAGGTGATGGTGTGACTCCCTGGCAGTGCCATTCGTGCCCACTGAGCTTGCAGGGTGGCCCTATGTCACTGGACGAGGGGGCAAGCTCAGAGCTGGCTTACAAAGGGGACTTTGAAGACTGAAGGTGTTGGAGGGCTAGGCTGGCCTCGAAGTCTGGCTTGAAGTGAGATGGTTTGAGCCGTGCCAATGAACCCTTGCAGCTGCAGGCATTCGGATGGCAGAGAACTGGGTGCAGTTGCAGGAGAGGAGGATCTAGGGAAGATGTGGCAGCAGCTGACCGATGGCCGGCTGACGCTCTGCTGCCAGGTACGTGGGCTGCGACGAGCTTCTCTGCTGTCCTGGACTCTGATCTAGTCTCTGCTTTGCCTTGCAACCCCTGTGCTGACTTTGTCCTGTAGGACTGGGACTCCCACTCGGGCAGAGCCGTGCTCTACCGGATGCTGGCTCAGCACTCCTACCTGGCGCAGGGACCGGGGGACCTGGAGTTCAGCAAGGGAGACGTGCTGGATATTCTCTCTGAAGGTAGCTCTCCAGTCCTGCCTGCAGGCTTGTACTGGGCCGGGCTGTTGGAATCTGCTGCAGGGAGGGGCTGGGGAATAGACGGCCTCCCCAGTGCTGTCTCAGGCTCATGCTCTCAGGAGGTACAGCCTTGCGCTGGGTTTTGCCCAGAGTTAAATTCCAGCCATGAAAACTCTCCCTAACCCCACTCATATGGGCCAGGGCTCATCCTGCTCCTGTGTGTTTTCCCAGTGAACGAGGACTGGCTCGAAGGACGCTGCAATGGCAAGACTGGCATCTTCCCCAAGTGCTTTGCAACCCAGACCAGTTGTGGTGCTGCCTTCCTGTAGCGGACAGGAGCTTCTTCCTTCCCCACTGCGCTGACCCAGGGCTGGCAGAACCAGTCCCAGCTCGTTTGGGCCACAGCCAGCACAGTCAGGAGCTCTGCTGAACGTGGACAGGGGATGTCCACCACTCACAGATCCCACGGGGTCAGTTCCAGCAGCCCGACAGCATTTCCTGCAGCCTGTTGCCAGGCTCTGTGCTTACACTGCCAAAGGTTTGCCCGTGCGGGGCAGAGGGAGGAGGGAGGGATCTGGAGTTTGGCTGTGGGAAATGTCCATGTGGCAGCTCAGAGCTCAGGGGCTTGGACTGCTGGGTGGAAAGAGATTCCTCTGGACGAAGGTCTTCACCTCCTCTCCCTTGTTGCTCACATTGGGGCTGGGAAGGCTGAGCCTTGCCCCAGGGATAGTCTGTGAGCAGGAGGCAGAGCCCAGTGCCCCAGGCACTTGGGCCACGTGTCCTCATCTCCACCAGAGAGAGATGCTGCGCTTTGGTAAGGCCTCTGTGACCAGTTTGCAGTGGGCTATGTGGGATAACACCTTGGGTCAGGACCACCATGTAGCATCTTCCACAGCAAATCCCCCATGGATGTGCCTGAGCTGAAGGGCTCTGAGCGTTCCTCAGCCCAGCTGCCTTTGGTTCTTTTCTTAAGCCCTTAAGTCCTGCCTGGGTGTTACTGCTTCACGCCGTGCGGGCAGGGATCTTGCGGCACAGGCGGGAGGTAACTGGAAACAGCCCTGCTCAGGGCAGTCCTGGGCTTGGGCAGAGCCTTGGAGGGGCTGGGGAGAGGGTGGGTGGGCAGCGCGGGGCTGGACGGACAGACACGACTGTCCGGTTCCTGCAGCCGACCCGTGTTGGGCTCTGCTGATCTAAATAAAACACCAGCCTGGAGCTGGAACCTGCTGTGGGTTTGGTGTCTGACAAAGCTGGGCCGTGTAACTTGAATATAAAATAAACCCTGAGCCAGAGCTGGCAGCTCTTCAATCAACTTCCACTTGTATTTTTCTGCTGAGATATGCCAGTAAATATTTTTAAAGACAGCTGACGGTGTCTTTGGGAAGAGATTCTGTCACATACTACAAAAATCTTGCACGTCTTGCACAGGGTGCAGATCAGGTCACCCCTCAGAGGCTGGGTGGCCACCGCCGCTCTCCGTCACCGATTGCCTCCCAGGGCTGGGGGGAGAGCAGCCCAGCAGGGCTGGAGGTGCCGAGGAAGCTGTGCTAGGCTGGCTAGTGACCTTCGCAGTTGAAAAACAAAAAGGATTTTATTTCTAGTTTGAATGTATCTGGCTTCATCTAGCTACCAATATCTGGCTTTTGTCAGCCAGATGAAAGTTTTTTCTGGAATCAGGAGTTTCTCCTTTTGGAGGTACTCAGACCTCAAGACACCTTTTTCATCTTCAGCATCTTTACAGAGATGACCCAGGTAGACCTTCTGAGCCATGGAGATGGGTATAATAATGCCCTCATTCTTCTCCCCCTTCCACCTTCTTTTGCACCATATCCCTGCCTGGTTCAGTGGGCAGGATGCCTCTAGTCAGGAGGCTGGAGCTACTTGGTTTTCCAGAAATACTGGAGGAAAATGGCCACCAGACCTGCCACTATGGCCAGCACGATGAAGGAGACAACACCTGCCCACACACTGGGCTGGTGCCCCTTGACGTGTTCCAGAGCCTCCGTGGGGATCATGTTGGTGAAGTTCAGCATGAAGCCCAGCGTCCATCCAATGTCCGTGTTTGCTGCCTGAGGTGAGAGAGCAGAGCAGATCATCCAAAAGTGCCTCTCCCAGGCACCAGTAGCTTCAGCGCAAAGGACTGCTGGACACCTCTCCCATAAGCTGCCTCAGCTGCCATTTCACACATGGACCTGGCTTTGGTGAACCCCATCTAAACCAGCACCACTTACGCAGAGCGCTTCCTCTCCCCACTTCCCAAAGGCTAAATGGCAGCAGAACATGGATGATCCAGATGTTCCTCTGTGACCTGCACAGGATTGTGGACCTGAGCTTTCATCCTTCCCCTGTGATCCTTCAAATTTGGTCATATTCTGGTTCAAATGGGTCATGGGGCCACCATCACCTCTCTGATGCTCAAGTCAATTCTGCCCAACATCAGTGACCAAAGTGGCCAAATCCTGCTCTGCGCTTCTCTGACCCTCTTAAAATTAGATTGCATTTACACCAGAGTAAGTGAGAAACAAGCTGGTGTCAGAGGTTTGGGGGCAGGTAGGAGTGAAGCTGCACTGGGATCACTGGGCAGCAGGCATGAGACAAGGACACGTTTCTGGCGCAGGGGATCCCAGGGATGCTGCTCCTGAATGTGTCCTCGGCCAACGGGGAGGATGCGGCCACAGCTCCCTGCCCCGCAGGGCTTTTACCTGCTGGTTGAAGTGGATGCTGCTCCACGTGTGCTCGTTGAACTTGTAGCCATCGAGCAGCAGCGTCAAGATGTAAATCGCCGCGGAGCAGTACGTGTGTAGGTACCCCTTCTCCTGCGGGAAGGTCTCCTCCAGCTGTGGGGCCATTGAGGCACACGGTGCAATGGGGAATGAGACAGATGCTCAGAAACCCTCCCTGGCCCAGGGAGCAGCAGGACATGCGCTTCCCGGGCAGAGATTTGGGACAGCACAAGGCTCTCACCTCTGTCCAGTTCTTCTTGCAGAAGGTCTGGACTGTGGAGTTGACATTGCTTAGAGACTGCTGGCTGGTCAGGTTCAGGAAGTGGAAGGTGTAGTAGAACCCAGCAAAGGCCTGGGGGATAAGGGGAGGTGGTAAAAACTGCATCTCCTTCCTCACCCAGTAAAAGGACCCAGGGACTCCTCTTGCCTAGGGACAGTCCTATGTCATTCCCAGGCTTCTGCATCCAGCACCCACTTGATGGTCTACCAGAAAGTCTTGGAGCTGGTGGACAAACCCTGGGGCTGCTGCTCGCACCCTGAGCTAGCTCAGACTTGCTCCCTGGGACAGGATCTTCCTGTTTCCCTCAGGGAGGGCTGGGACATGGCAGGAGGCAGAGGCCCCCTCCTAGCATAGGAGAAGAGGTTTGCAGATGGGACCAGCTCTAGGGTCCCCTCCTTCCCCACCCCTTCCCACAACTACTGGCAAAGGGGACTGCCACCCTCTGTCCTCCCCCACCACAGCCGCGGGGACGGAGGCTCCTTACGAAGAACTGTCCCCGCACGGGCGGCTGATAGACCCCGTTGAACCCGCACGTCCCGTTGGCCCCACAGCTGAAGTTGAAGAGTTTCTGGATGGCGGTGCTGCACGCCGCTGGGTCCCCCGTCCCCGTCACCGTGAGGACCTCTGCAGAGCTGGGTGTGCTCGGGGCATGGACACAGGGACTGTCATAGAGGTCTGCCGTGGTGATGTTCTCCTGGTATCCCTTGGGGTAGCAGGGGTGCGATATCTCCTGGGCAGACGGGCTGCTCTGGAGAGAGTGGGAGCCGTTAGCAGGGCTTGGCCTGGGATGCCAGTGAGACCCTACCCCACAGCTCATCCTGCGCTTAGACTTTCCCAAAAAGCAGGATCTAGACCCTAGAAGGATTTGAGGAGAAGCAGGATCCATCCCTTACAAGACTAACCTGCCCAGGGCTTTTGCCCGTCCTGCTGTCGGCCCCACCACCAAGCCGTGCTGGGGTGGCGATGCCACTGCCTGCCGGCTGGGGTGGCAGCCGGCTCCCGCGGGCAGCACGTGCTCTCTGCCTGCACCCGGAGCTCGTTGCCCTTGCCATTCCCTCTGTTCCCACCGCATCTTGCAGGCTCTGGCCAGAAGAAGGGCAAGTGAATGGGGACAGGGAAGAACCTAAGGATACAGCTGGGCTTGGAAAACGATGGAAAAGTGCCATTACCCGTCAACATCTGGGGAGAAGGGAGCCCTGGCAGGGAACCACCACCACCGTCCACCCAAAAGAGAGAATTTTTTGGTGTGGTAGATAAAATCTCCCAGGTTTTGGATTTGTGAAAACTCCCAATTCCCTTTTTCCACAGGCATGCCCAAAATTTCTGGAAGACATTTCTCATGGCAATGGGAAATGGT